GGGGGGCATTACTATTAGCAGACATAATGTGGAGGTGGGGGCATGGTGAGAGTTGTACAACACAGAGAAGACAAGTGGTGATTCTATAGCATCTTACTACGCTGATGGACAGTGACTGTAATGGGGTATGTAGGGGAGACTTGGTGATGGGGGGAGTCTAGTAAGCATAGTGTTCCTCATTTAATTGTAGATTAATGATACCAAAATAATAAACAAACAAACAAACAAATAAATAAATAAATAAAAAGAAAAAAGAAGGGAAGAGATGTAGAGACACAAGGAGGACATGGAGGCAGAGACTGGAGTGATAGGTCTACAAGCCAGGGAACATGAGGATGCCAACAAACACCAGAATCTAGGAAGGAGCAAGGAAGGACCCTCCCCGAGAGCCTCAGAGGGAGCATGGTCCTGCTGACAGCTTGATTTTGGACTTCTAGACTCCAGACCGTGGGAGAATAAGTTTCCGTTGTTCTAAGCAGCCCAGTGCGCAGTGTGCAGTACTTTGTTATGGTAGCCGTAGGAGACTAACACAACTGTTCCGCACTGAATTGGAATGACTTGCTCTGTTGCCATCTCCCAGCCCCAAATAAAGCCACAGTCCCACGAGGAAAGAAAGTCTGTCTTACTATATTCTTTATCTCCTGGCACGTGCAGGCATTCATAAATTGCTGTTAAAAGAAATGCCACAGTGTCAATAATCAGGGATGACTTTTCCAAAATTCAGAAGTTGTTAATCAGTTTAACATAGGCAGTGAAAAGACAATTTTGCATATTACTGAAGGTTTTGAATTCGAAAGTCTTCTCAATGAAACAGTTATAAACATCTTCAGCCATCTCTGATCTGAAGATTCTTTCTCCTTATCTTATTTGGTTAACGATTTCAAACTTACGTTTGGTTTAAAGGCCAGGAAGGAGATACAGCCATGAGCTTGGGCTGTGAAGCGAAGGAACTCACCTTTGAATCCTGACCTGTCCACTGCTTAGTCCTGTGACCTCAGACAAATTATTTCACCTTTAAAGCATGTTATCCTCATTAAAGAATAGTTGGGTAGATTAGATCATATGATACATGCAGATACATAGCATGGTCTCTGACCTTTGGGACTCAATAAATTTTAGTGGTTATTGTTGTCAACAGATCATGCAACAGGAAGACTTTAAGATATTTTTTCCAGAACCAGAAGAAAACAAGAATATTTTTATAGTCTTGGAGTAATGAGGCAAAACTTAAAACTTGAAAGACATAAAGGGAAACACTGACAGCTTTGACTACATAAAAATAAAGTGGAACATTGAAAGACACAACCAAAAAATGAAAGTGAGAGTTATATATCGCTGGTGGGAATGTAAATTGGTACAACTTCTCTGGATAGTAATCTGGCCATATGCTTCAGGAGTCTGAATAAATCATCATACCCCTTTGCCCAGTAATCTCCTACCACTAGTGACTGAATCTAAGGAAACAATCAAAAAAGCATGTAAAGATTTATGGACAAGCAGACTCATCTTAAGTTTATGCAGTGGTGAAAAATTAGAACTTAAATATATAAATTGTTAAACACTGGTACAATGAAATAATATGTAGACATTAAATTTATGTTATAGAAGAATATTTAATGCTAGGGAAGATATTCAAGCATATTAAGTAATAAAGGCAGCTTGCAAAACAGTACTTATGGTACCAACTATGTTAAATATAAATATATAGGTAGATAGATATGAATAAAAGAATGGATATCAAAATGCTAAGAGTGATTATCTTTGAAAAGTATGATTATAGGTGGTCTTGTCTGCTTTATATATATCCCTGTATATTTCAAATATTCTGCAAAGCACAGAAAAAGAATAATAAATGTGAATGGACAAAGAAAAAGTGAATGTGTCAATCTTAGAATTTTGGTGGCCATTGATAGTAAAAATACAAAATAATTTCAACCTATTTACATCATATGAATATTAAAATAAATTTAAAATAACATCCATAATTTTAGACCAGATGGATAGTAATCACTTGGAAAATTTAATCTGCAATCCCAGGAATCTGATCACTGCACAATCCCTAGGTCTTTTACACTTTCCTAGATGAGAACTACATGCATACGTCCTGGGGGTACACTGACCTTTGGCTCAGACTCAGTGTTTGGGCCAATTCTGCTGTTCAGCTGTGGCTTCAGCATCGGTCACTGCCAAGCAGAAGCTGAATGCTCACTCAATATCATTTCTGGCATTCTTAGACCTGCGCGTGGGTAATGACCATGCGATTGGGTAGGTTTCCAACAGTGCATCAGCCTTCAGACATAAACATGGCATGTCATTCATATTTATTGTTAGTATCTGAATATCTACTTTAAAATTTAGGGTTCTAAATTCTAGCTGTATCTTGACTGTAAAATCTGATGATGTGATTTATATGTTGACATGCTAACAGTCAGTTAAAGTATATATGATTGTATTTTAATTTTTTAATGTTTTAATACAAAATATTTTGTATTTTAATATTGCAAAAGTAAAATGCTACAATTACTGAAGATTGTAAAAGGTGTTGATTCTATGTAATCAAGAACTTTCAAATAAATATTAATAAATTTCAAATAAACAAATATTGTTAAATCTATTAACAGTTAATGTGAATATTGAGAGAATATTATTCAGGTAACTTCAGAAAGAACATTATATCCCCTTTAAGCCTACAGATGTTTATCAAAATATAAATACTACCACAGGGCAAAGTAATAAAGATTAATCATGATTCAAATGACTGTAGAATTATTTGGTGCAATTGCATTCATAACACTAAATAAAATAATCTTTAGAAACTAATGTTTAATTATTTAATTCCATTTAGTGATGAATCCTAAAAAAAGAAAAAGCCTACTTGGTAATTTTTCACATATTATGAGGATAAATTAAAAGCAGAGTGCCAAAGTGACAACCTCAAAATTTCACAAGAAAAAAAACTCCTGAATAACACATATATGATAAGTCACCTTTGACTGAGACATGATTAAAAGTATAGATAGCATGAGAATAAAGGAGAAAGTTTAAATAAGATATGCAAAGTATATTTGTTCTCCCTAAACAATGAACTTACAAGAATGTTTTTATTAAGACAGTGCCTCATGGTTTGGGATATGTGAAGGCTAATCTTTTTTTAAAACTTGTAGAAATAATTGCTATAGACTGATAGCCATTTTCAGAAGAAAATAAAGAGAAAGGATATTTAAGATTTGCTCAAGCTATGAATTCTAAATATTGATTTCCTTTAGAAAACATTACTAAAAACTTTTTCTTGACTTATATTTTGCTGTGCACAAAAGGTTAATGAAATACTAAATATGATACCAAAGCATATGCTGTATGTGACATTTGGGCATAAAGAATCAGCATTAATTTTTTTACAATATGGAGGATTAATGACTAATTCAACCATGTTTCTGCTTTCCTTAGTTCGTGAAAGATTCCTGGGTTTCACACACATAGTGAATCTGATTTTGAGAAATATTCACGGGATGTAAAATCAGTAAAGACAAATGCATGAAATTATCATTGACTATAGAACAGATATAGTGAAGGCTGTGAGCACAAGCATACTGTAATTTATTTACATCCTTCAATGTTATATTCAGGAAATGGTTATAGCTTAAAAAGATGTAATGAAAAATGACTGGTAGCAAGCAGAAAGATTGCACACCTGGGGGTGGGAGATGGCAACAAAGCAAAATCATAAATTTTCTTCAGCCAATAACAAATTATTCGATACACAAAAGATTTTGAAATTTTCTTGTCATGTACATATACAAGATATTTAAACAAGATGGAATAGCAGCTATTATACCTTTCAAAGGCTGACAATAAAGAAGGTCTTAAATTTGTACTTTCTAGAAACCATTACCAGTGTGGCAAGACTATTAACCAATGGCTGCTTGCATAGAAAGGAGTTTGTTTATTGGAACTTGCTGAATAAATTGATGAGCCCTGAGGGTGCAAGTATTTTCTACATCATGCTGAAAGATCTTCCTTTGATTCTACTCCAGGGAAGATGCTGAAATTGGTGTGCATGCAAGGAAAGCTAAGATGCAAATGAAAACTGATTATTTTCTTAACTTGAAAACCAATTAAACAGCTCCATTGTCACAATCCTAGATCCAAACGTTAAGGACAAACTTTTCTCTAGTCATTGTGTATAGTGGCAGGAACTGACAAAAACATTATAAATTAGAAATAAAAAACAGGAGTTCAATCATTTTATATCTGCCTCTGAAAATATGCATCTTAAAACAAAGGTTGGACAGAACAGGGCACAAAACTTCAATTGGTGAAATTGCTTCAATGAAATGAACATCACCATCCAGGAAATTTTCAAGGCGAAGAATTTACAAGGAGAAAAGCCTTTATCTTAATAAGTTCCTATTAGAGGAAGGCACACTTAGTAAGTTGGTGGCAGTATCACCATACTACACTAGCAGAAGTCATTTTACTCTATGATGCTCAGTTGAAAGTACCATATTTAGTAATTCAAATGCCCCTGTTTAATGGTCCTAGAGGCATCCGGCAGTTGACAGGACTAAGAAATTACTGTTCTTGTCTTATAAGGTTGAGACAAGGACTGTGGGTTTAGACAGGGTGAGGGCCCCCGGAAAAAGCGAGGCAAGATAATTACAGTCAGAGCAATCTAACAATATGCAAGGAAACCCCCACCAAATTCTGTGTTAAACATTATACTCTAGAGTCATTCTTCAGTGAGATCAGTTAACATTTCCCAGATAAAGGAAAGTATCTCAGCATAGCCCATGTTTTTTATTATGCTAATCATTTGTAATCATGTTAGGATTCACTTTAGCATGCTAAAAGGCCCAGCCCTATGTGCTGATTTTCCTCCTTCAGACCTGATCAGGTGATTTGCGACCTAGGCAATTAATAATGACAAGCAAGCCCAGCCATCAGCAACATAGTAAAAGTGAGAAAGATGACACCTTGATTGCCTTTTAAACTCTTTAGCAAACAGACAATAACTTAGCCCACCTTGAGGGCAGGGCAGGTGATCTTGATTGATGATTGATATGCTCCCAGACCAAGAAGCTGTTATTTTGGTAAAGAAATCTTCAGTAAATTTCTTATGTTAATTTTGCAGAATTATCTGGAAGACTGATAAGAAAAGAGACTTAATGTCTCCTCGAAGATGAACATTTCAGGACCACTTAACAGATCCACATCCGTAGCCCTTTATCACGTTTCCGAAAATCCTCAACTGCCTATAAAACCCCTACATAGTGCACGACCACGGATTGTCCCCTCCCAGCATGAGCCAGAAGCTTTGTCCTCTCACTTTCTCTCTAAATAAAAGCCTTTCCCTTGCCCTCCTATTTTGAGTGTTTGTGAAGTTCATTCTTCGACTCCGTGAACAAGAACCCCGGCATCAGGGTCAAACTTCAAAATTTTAACTACTATATTTTTAACAATAAAATGACAAACATGAATTTCCTTTCCAAGAAAATTCAGATTTCTTCCTTTTTTTTTTTCTAGAAGTTCATTTTGTTATAGTGATAGTCTGATTCAGGAGATGCAATTTTTAACTATCAAACATTCACCATTTGACCAAAATACATGCTCAGGTAGACCCAAATAACACTGCAGGGGCAGCAACAATCTACAACAGCTTAGTACGCTCAGGGGCAGGGTCCCCATCAAGATGGTTCTCATACTTTTGTGATTTTTAGGTACTTTGTTAATGGGTATTAACTTGTTTCATTTGTTGAAATACAGGTTTGGGAAGACTTTGATGCATGTTTGGCACGTCTGAAATAAGGAGTGCCGGAAACTCGGGGTTGCGTGGCTGTCCTAACTGTAACACTCAATCTGAAACACCCCATCTCCATGCTTTCCTGTCCATCAGCACGGACCCAGAAAACCACCACCTCAAAACCCGAGAAACTGCACAGTAAATTTGGGTCATAACACAGGCCACATGGGGTGTAAACGCCTCACCTTGGCAGGCACACCTGCAATTTTTGTAGTTTTCATCACAATTGTGTGCCTCTCGGACGCACGTTCCCACTCTTCAGGCCCGCCATGGCCTGCCTGGCGCCCGCCTCTCGCCCGCAGCCCCATTCTCACCTTTCCCATTGGCTGCCCCCAGCCTGAGCACCTCCCTGCAGGCGGTGCCTGCTCCCTGGAAGGAAAGTACCCCAGGAAGAGCCCTGGTTTTGTGGCGGGACCCTAAAGTCCAATCTGTTAAACGTGGTCGCAGTGGGCAAGCTAACAGCAGCCGGGTTCCGTGCACCCAAAACCACGCACGCCGACAGGCGGCCGGCCTGCAGGGTGGAAGTGGCCTCCGGGGCCGGCAGGGGGCGCGCCCGCGGCGGGTGTGCGGGCGGCGCGTCTAGGCCGGAGCCCTTCCCGGGGAGCGCTCGTTGCCCACAAAGCGCCAGCTGGGGAGCCGCTGCGCGCCGAGCGCAACTGAACCTGCGCGCCACCCGAGCTCCACCGGCCGGCCGCCCCGCGCCCCTGCTGCGTCCCCGCGCCCCGAGCAACGGCTCCCGACGGCCGCACGAGCCCGAGCGGGAAGGGAGGCTGGGCGGGTGCCGCCTGCAGAGAGACCGGGACCGGGCTGCGTGGGGCCGCGCGCCGCGGCAGCGACTCCCTACGGGCCGGGCCGGACAGCGCAGGGCCATGGCCGAGGCGGCCCCGGCTCCGGTAAGGGCGGCCCGCTGGCCGAACGCTGCGAGCTCGGGTCGGTGAGCGCCTCGGGCTCTGCGTCGCGGACCGAGGGGAGGGAGGAGGGCGGGAAGCCCGGCCTGTCAGGCGCGGGGCCCGGAGCGGGGCGCAGCCCGAGCACGGGAGCCCCCGGGGTCCCGCCAGCCCGGAGGAGCGCCCACGCCCAGCGCGGGTCTGGGAAGGCTCGCCACCGCCCACATCGTGGAGCCCCCGGGCGCCAAGCCCAGGGTTCCCCCCCGCCCACTCGGAGGTTTCTAGCCGAGAGAGCCTCTTAGGCTGGTGAACGAGGAACGAGCGAGGAGGGTACCCCCCGCCTGGTGTCAGACCCCCCACATGCAGCCCGCCCGACGCAGGGCGGTGGGCTTGGTGCCTGCACCAGCCAGCCCCCTGCTCTGGGAGCCGCCCTCGCAGAATCACCCTGGGCGCAGTCCGCCTGAGCCTCGCACAGCCACAGATGCGGTGGTGACGGCAGCGCTTAGGCGCGTGGAAGGACTGCGTGAGGACAGGGACCCCAGTGCCAGCGCAGGACAATGCGGGACGCCCAGGAGGCCCTTCGTCAGTATTGCTGAGTGAATGACTGCCGCAGGCTCGGAGGTGGGATCACCTTAGCGCGTTTATTCATTCAGCGGATGTTTACCGCAGGCCTGCAGTGTGCCAAGCCCTCTGCCAGCCGCCAGGGCTGCAGAGATGACACACAGTCCCTGCGCACAAGACCATTTAGAGCGAGCAGGGACTAGTCCAGGAACAGCACTGAAAAGTATGCCTTGGTTTGCCAAGTAAGCCTTTGGTCACCCCCAAGGAGGGCTGTTTCAGTGGGCCCGGTGGCTGACGGCTGCTCAAGAGGGCCTGGAAAGCCAGAAGTGGGGGAAAAAGAGGGAGCGGCAGCAATGCGATGGGGAGTACCCTTGGACCTGTTTCTCCTTTTCCGACCTCTTTTTTATAATATGGTAGAGATGATCGTATGTTCATGCCAGCCCTACCCAATAGAAATATAATAGAAGCCACAGATGTAACTTTAAATTTCCTAGTAGTCACATTTAAGAAGTAAAAATGAATGAATAAATTTTAATGATATATTTTATTTAACCCAATGCATACCAAATATTTCAATGTGTAATCAACATTAAGTACTTATTAATGAAGTTTTACATTCCCCTCCCTCCCAGTACAAAAGTCTTCACAATCTGGTGTGTTTTTATACTCATAGCACATCTCAATTGAAATACCACATTTCAAGTGCTCAACAGCCACATGTGGCTATCATATTGAACAGTGCAGGTCTTATGGAGAAGAGTCAGGAGAGATTGAAATATTAACCAAAGAAGAGAAAAGAACAATGTACAATGTACCTAAAAGTGTGGAAGGAGTTGGCATTCAACACATAAGTGAAGAGATTGGTTTTCATTAGGATGAGGGAAGGAAAGAAGAAAGCATGGATTTCTTTCCTGTGGGAAGGAAAGAAGAAACAGGGATTAAGTTACTCATAAGTTTGAAGTGGGAAGGAGTATGGAGAAAAAGAGGAGAAAGTTCAGAGTTTCGGACTCCTTGCTCTGATTTTCTGAAGGAGGAGGCCCTGTCATCTCCCGAGATTGAGGTGGCCTGCCAAGGACAAGAGCCCTGCTGCTCAGCGTGAGCTCCGTGAACCAGCAGCGGCACCTGGGAGCTTGTTGAAAATGCAGAATCTCACTTTTTCTCTCAGACCTACTGAATCAAGTTCTGCATTTTAAGAAGAGTTCCAGATGATTCTTATGCACATTAGTCGGAGAAGCTGTATACTAAAAATTTAGAGAGTGTGCCAGGGGGTGGTGATGGCCACTATGCAATGGGAAGAGAAGCATGGGGGTACCAGGCAGTGTTGAGTCCCTGGTGAGCTTAGAGACCACTGGCATGTGGTGATAACAGTTTACCTGGCTATGTGACTTCCTTTGGTAAGGCTTACCAGCCTGCCTTCAGGAACAGGGAGAGAGAATGAGGACTGGCTCAAAGCTGGACGTTAATCAAATGAGGCAGAAAGACAGATGTGTGAAGGGGTTGAGGCTGGCTGAAGTGACCAACCAAGGAAGAAAACAAAGCCTGGAGCAGCTGATAAATCAGGAGCAAATGCAGTGGTCAAGGGCTGAGTGGGATTGCAGAGCAGGTGAAATGAGAATAAGGTGGTGGGTGAGCTGGAGAGTTGGGAGGCTGTGCCCAGAGAGCAGGTTATCAGATTCATAGGTAGAAAAGAAGACTTCATAGAGGTGTTCCTCATCCAAACTATTTGTTGAAGGAATTTTCTTATACGCTCTTTGTTTCAAAGTATTGTGTTATTTTCTTTTGAAGATCTGGTTCAAAAATTATTTATATAGGCCAAAATTTGCCTGCCTGGGAATTCTGTGTTCTAGTTCTGTCCTCTGGATTAACAGTGTAAGATTAAAAAAGTCTGTTCTGCCTTCTGTTTTATAACTCTTCAGGTATCTGAAAATAGCCATCATGTTTTCTCCAAACTCAATGTTATCAGCTTATTCAGCCATTACTGAATGGTATGGTTGTAGTTTTCAGGAGGGTGGTGGATGGGGCCAGAACATAAGTCAATAAGGGGTTTGTCAGAGGGCATGGAGCTCAGTGAAGCTTGGGAAGATACTGGTGCACTCAGGTATTTTCCAGAGAGAGGGGATGCAGCAGCAACCTGAGCCTCTAGACGACTGGCTTTACATCCAGGGGGCATGCCAGGCTGGTTCTTGATCCAGTTTCGCTCATTCACCGTCTACCTAGTCCGTCCCGAAATCACCAAAGCTGTTCTCTTGGCTTTGGATGCCATTGAGCATCATAAAGATGAGGCTTCTGCAGGCGGTACTAAAACTATATTTAGGTTAATCCGAGCCAGCCAGTTATCCAGTCCTGTGATTTTAGTTTGGATTAGGGTTCCTAGTAACACTCAGTGTCTTGTCTCATCTCTCCACCGCACACAGACGGCTGAATGGGACTCCGAATGCCTTACATCCCTGCAGCCCCTTCCTCTTCCCACACCCCCAGCAGCAAACGAGGCCCACCTGCAGACTGCAGCCATCTCCCTATGGACCGTGGTGGCCGCTGTGCAGGCTATAGAGAGAAAGGTGGAGGTCCACAGCCGGCGACTCCTGCACCTCGAGGGACGGACAGGGACAGCAGAGAAGAAGCTGGCCAGCTGTGAAAAGACAGTGGCCGATCTTGGGAACCAGCTGGATGGCAAGTGGGCCGTGCTGGGCACCCTGCTGCAGGAGTACGGGCTGCTGCAGAGGCGGCTGGAGAACTTGGAGAACCTGCTGAGGAACAGAAACTTCTGGATCCTGCGGCTGCCCCCGGGCATTAAGGGAGAGATTCCCAAGGTAATGCCTTTACTTCCAGCTGAAGAGTGGTACCTCTGGTCCTCAAGTAGTAGTAAGGGATAATGTTGGTCCATCAGGAGAAAGGAAACATAAAGTGCTTTTGTGTTTATCTGCTTGGGAAGCATTCTGTGTTCAATTTAGCGATTGTTTGGAGGGTCCAACTTCAGATTGGAAAACTCTCCAATCCAAAGTTGACTCTCTGGAAGATGGACTTTTTTTCTCCTTTGCTTTCTCTTACCCTTTACTTCTGGGTCACTTTTTTCTTTGTTAACCTGTCTACCACAATCTTGCTGGGGAAACTAAATTAAATATTTAATTCAGTCAGTTTGAATTTGTTGGCAATTCTGATGAAAAAGTCAGAAGGAGAACAGAGAAGGGATGTGGAGTAAGTAGGGGTTTGGAGCCATCTGTAGGGCTAGGACTGACGTAGAGCCTGGCCTTCCTTATCCTTCATGCAAGCGCACCGCAGTGCGAGGGCCTAGCTCTCTGGAGGGGATAGCGCGTAACAGAAAAGGAAATAAACATCATTCTTAAGCTGTGGGAAATAGCCTTGAGGCAACTAGTTTCCAAGCATGCTCGTTTATTCATTCATTCACTCAACAAATATTCCTTGAACATTTACTGTTTGCTTGATAAGTACATCCTGAAAGCAGTGAACATTTCCCCTAGAGCTTAAATTTTAGCTGGGAAAGAAAGATAATACAAAGAAACAAGAAAATAAATCCATTTAGGTGCTTTGATCAAAATAAAAAGGCCATCTGGTGATTTATTTTAGATTGGATGTCACAGAAGGTCTCATATAGGAGCTAATATTCAGACTGAGACTGAACGGCAGGAAGGCCCCAACTGCAAGAAAGTCTGGGGAGGAGCTGTCCAGGCAGAAAGAAAACCTAGTACAGAGTCCCGTAGGCACGAACAAACTGGGAAAGTTTCCCTACTAAGGGAAAGGAAATAAGCCAGGGAGCCGGTATGCAGTGAATAACCAAGCGTGACAGGGGAAATGGGTGGAGGTCAGGTCATTTACGGCAGTGTTTCTCAGTCCTGACTGTATGCAGGCATCACCTGAAGGACTTTTTAAATTTTGAATCTCTCTTTAAACTAAGAGGTTCTGATTTAGTAGGTCCAGGATGGGCCATAAGTGTTCATAATTCTTAAAGCTCCATAGAAGACTGTGATAAGCAACTACATGGTCTCTGAAGCTCAAAGGTGAGAAATATTTGGGAATCGCTGGCATACAGATTGCATTGTAAGCCAGGAGACTGGAGGTGATTACTTCAGGAGAGAAAGGAGCTGTGAAAGGCAGAGGCCAAGGACCAAGTTCTGGGGTAGGAGGCCGGCTTAGGAGTCTGAGGAGGACAGGCCAGAGTGGTAGGAAAAAAGGGAAACAGGAGAGTGCGTGGGGTCACCAGACCAGCGGAAAATGCATTTCCCGGAGAGATTGTCGTTTGAGGTGAATGTCACAACTAGGGTTGTGAACCACTGATGTAGGGCTTTGGAGACCAACATTAAGGAATTTGGATTTTATCTTAGGGATTATATTTAATGGGAAGAAATTGGAGAGTTTTAAGCAGAGGAGGAGTTATGTCTGGTTTATAGTTTGAACTTTGCCTGCATTGTGGAGAATGGATCGTGAGGGTAAGAACTGAAGCAAGGAGGAAATAAGGCAGCTGTAAAAGGAGGGATGAGATGGATGGATCTAGAGGGTATTATGCTTAGTGAAATAAACCAGGTGGAGAAAGACAAGTACCATATGATTTTACTTATTTGTGGAATATAAAAACAAAACAAAATGGAACAAAACAGCAGTAGTCAGAAGTGACTAACGGTTACCAAGGAGGAGGGGTTGGGATGGGTGCAGGGCAGGAGGGGAGGCGGGTAAAGGGGCACAGTAATCCACAATCACAGTATAAGCTGACCACAGGGACCGCTGAACCACTGTGATAAACATTTGAAACCAACATAAGGTTGTATATTGACACTTTAATAAAAGAAAAGGGATGAGAGGCTTGGGTAATGAGATGGAGACAAATAGATAGATGCAGGACAGTAGAAATTAAGGTAGGATTTAGGGGATGAAGGACTGAGAACCAACAGTGATTGTCAATTTACTGTGTGATAATTTACTTAGAACTTCCTGTTCTAAGTGCTTCCGTTATTTTCATAAGAACGCTAACTTGCCCAGGATCATACAGTTAAAAACTACAAATAACAGAGTTATACTGTAACCCTGTTGGCTCCAGAGTATATGCTCTTAAGCACCTTCGGTTGACGGAATCTCAGGCTTTTGGCTGGAGGAAACCGGTGGATGGTGTTGGCATTTACTGAGATGGGAGTGGCTTGGCGGTGGGAAGGAATTAGGCGTTTTCCTTTGGCAGTGTTAGGTTTGAGATGCCTGTGATACATTCAGGAAGGACATTACGTGGTCTCTGAAGCTCAAAGGTGAGAAATATTTGGGAATCGCTGGCATACAGATTGCATTGTAAGCCAGGAGACTGGAGGTGATTACTTCAGGAGAGAAAGGAGCTGTGAAAGGCAGAGGCCAAGGACCAAGTTCTGGGGTAGGAGGCCGGCTCAGGAGTCTGAGGAGGACAGGCCAGAGTGGTAGGAAAGAAGGGAAACAGGAGAGTGCGTGGGGTCACCAGACCAGCGGAAAATGCATTTCCCGGAGAGATTGTCGTTTGAGGTGAATGTCATTGAGAAGTCTAGAAAGAGGAGAACAGTAACTATGATTTGGAAACACAACTTCATTTGTGACCTTACAAGGGATGTCTGGATGCAGGGGTTGAGGACTGACTGAAGCAGGTTAAAGAGTGAGTGGGAAGAGAAAAATGGAGAGGATGGCGCTGAACGCCTCTTTCCAAGTGGGCAGAGAAGGCAAGCAGAGATGAAGTAGCCGGGAGGGTACCTGATAGAGAACCTCCCACTTGTGTTCTGTTTGTGTGTCTGGAGCCCCTCCAGAAGCTCTTTGGAATAATTCAAACTTAGTATTTGCCATAAAAATAGCAGAAAAGGTAAGTTAAAGTTACTTATTATCTTACCTAGATAACATGTAAACTGTCCATTTTCAATTCCAAAATCATATATAAAATAATATTGTGAATTTTCTTAACAATTCATTCTTGAAATTAAAATATAGTGAAGATCTACTAGATTGAAATATGGAAAGTAAACTTTTGTGCCCTTGCTTTGTTCTTTGCTGAAAATGCTCTTATTCTGCCCCACTTTGAATGCCAAGTTCAAAGTAATTGTCCCTCAGAATTTTTTTCTTAATTTCAATTTTTAAATTGCAAATATACATGACAAAATTTACCATTTCAACCATGCTTAGGTACACAGTTCAGTGGCATTAAGTGCATTCACATTGTTTTGCAACCATCACCACCATGATCTCCAGTACTTCCCGAACTGAAACTTTGTGCCCATTAAACGGCACCCCATCTGCCTGCCCCAGGCCCTCTCCCCCACCATTCTGCTTTCTGTCTCTGTGAATCTGACTACTCTTAAGTGTCTCATGTCAGTGAGGTCACATAGTATTTGTTCTTTGCAATTGGCTTATTTCACATAGGAAAATATCTTCCAGGTTTATCCATGTTGCAGTGTGTCAGAATTTCCTTCCTATTTAAGGCTGAGTAATATTCCACTTCTCTTGGAATTTTAAAGGCATTGGTCCTTTGTCTCACAACATCAGCTAGTATTGATGAAAAGTTTAATACCGAATCAGTTCTCACCTATTTGTAAGAAATCTGTTGTTTTTTTTCCTTTGTCTCTCTGGAAGCATTTATCTTCTATTTACACTTGTTTTTCTGAAACTTGCTGAGGATATATCTGGATGTAGTTCTTTTATATTTGTGTTGGGCACTTGGTGTGACCCTTCAACCAGAAGACTGGTGTCTTTTCAGCTTTGGGAAATTTTCTTCTATGATTCTATTTTTATAATATTTCTTTCCCCTCCCCATTTTTTCTGTTCTCTTTCTGGAATGACTGTTTGACAGATTATGGATTATTGTCTTGTTGCTTTTATTTTTCCTTCTTGTTTTTCACCTTTTTAAACTGGAGGTCTATGACCTTTCTCTCCAGGCTTTCTGATTTTTACTTTAACAATTCTATGTTTAATATTATACTCACTTTCTGCCTTTTTAAAAAGCAACCTGAGTTTTTTTTTAGTGGGTGCAATATCCAAGTTTCTCTGGGAATATGTACTAGTGGCTTGTTTGGTTTTTAGTTTATTTTTCTCCTCTATTGTCATTTGTAGTGTTTGTTCATCTTGTTGCTGTTAGTTTTCTTTTTCTTTTCAATATTGAGTAATCCTTGGTCATACGTTCACATTTATAAGTGAAAGACTCATTGATTAATAGATTAACTACAGGAAGCTGACATGTTTTCTCTGCCACTATGTACATCTTTTTAAACAAAGGATCTTTCTGGTGCAGGAGAGGGTTGGCTCTGTAGGCACTTGCCATGGAAGAGAGCAAGTAGGCAGTGCAGGGACCACCTAGAGGCCAGGAGCGGGCTGGTACTCTAAAACTGTCAGCACCCCTACTGTCTCCAGGCAGGTTGTTAAGTTGCTGTAGCAAAGAGGGCTGTGACTGCAGCATTGCGGTAAATGCTGATGCTGCCTGGCTCTGCCAGGGCAGATGAGGAGGCCGTGGAAGGGCCCCCTGCCATTCCAAAGATAGATCTTCAAACTGCAGTTTATAACCACTTTCATTCCTACTCAGTGTATCTGCCAGCTTGGAGCTTGGAATTCTCTGCATTCCTCAGCTGCAGGCCTTCCTGTATATAGTCAGAGAGATGCAGCTTCCTTAAGCACCTGGGACCCCCGGCACACGCCCATGCCCTGGGTCTCCGTGAGAAACTCATCAAAAGCTCTGACCCAGTGATGTCCTCTCCTTCTTGTTGGCACTGTCCCGGATCTAGTCCTGCTGGGCATGCTCATGGTCGTCTCAGTGGACCTCTGGGAGGGAGGGAAGTGCAGGTGCGCTTCGTTCAAGACCTGGAACCAAGGGTCAATCCAGGTCCTTTATTTTTGTAATTATTTTATCATATGTGTTTTTGTTGTAAGCTATCACAAATCTTTTGTGTAATGAGGTTAGTTAAAAATAAACTCTTGAGTATCTACACTTGTCCTCAGCCCGATTTCAGGTATAAAACGGGTAATTTATGGTTCTAGCCCCTAAGGAACAAAATTTCTAGTTGGGGAAACAAAGGGTGACACAAAAGAAGCAATCAGAGAAAATAAAGCTAATTGCCACATAGTATTGTATAGATCTTTAAATCTTAAAGGATATGTTAAGGTTATGAAGATGAGTATATCATTTTCATTAAATTTTTTAATTTTGGGGAAAAAAAGTATGTGTATATGCATTAGTTACCAGGAGTCTTTCTTGTTCTCTGATTTTTGTTTTGTTTTCCCATAGCTTCCTATTTTCATTTTATGGGAGTAATATCTCTTAACTCTTTATGGAAATACTCATTAAAGAGGGTTTTTTGTTTGCTCATTTGTTTTTAATTCTGTTGCCTAGGTATTTCTTGTTTCTGCATTTTTTTCCCTTCTCTTATTTTAGTCTTGTTCATGTGGCAGGCCTTCTCTGAATGGTCATCGACACTTAGTAGTTAGCTCGTGTATAAGAACTACCCTGTAGCTGTCGGCAGTGGGGGCAGCTAGCCATATAATGATGACAGCTAAACACCAGAGTGAGGAAAGCTTTACACCAGGTTACAGTGTCAGTACTAGATGCCTTAAATTCCCCAGGCAATTCTTATTTTCTTTATAGAAGAACCTTCCAGTTTTTCACCTAGGGATAAACTCCTAGCTTTAGACAAAACTATGCTGGAAGGTGAGGAGGATTCTGTTCTGTATATGACCGTTCTCGGCATGCAACTTGGGGCTCCACTAGGCAGAATTCATAAATGTCCTCTGAATGCACTCCCCTGTTCTCCATGCTTAAATATTTTTCCCATTCCCAGCAGGCCTGTTTATAACCTGCCTGCCCTTTAGGGCTAGCCAAAGCCCATCACTTCTAGGTAGTTCATTATATCTTGTTATAATTATATTTCCCATTATAGTTCTATTTCCAAAATTTCTTGTCCATGTCTTTAATTTGAACACACTTATATGCTCCTTTTGGACAGAAACTTTATTTTTGTAGTTTCAGTGCTTAGGATAAGCTGTGTACTTAGTGGATATTCAGAATATACTGTTTTGTGAACTAAATAGAGCTTTGCATTTGTACCTAGCTCTAGGAGGGACTGTTTACAAGTAATGTCTTCTGTCTTCCCCAAACTCAGAGCCCTAACGTTTATTACCTTTTTCCTTGAAATCACTGTCAACTCCTGGAGGTTGGATCTGTGTCTTAAGTTTTTCCTGTATCCTTTCAGCATCTCACATGCTTTTTTGTAACTAGCACATACTTAGTTAAGATTATTAAATGATCGAATTACAGTGGGAGGAACTAACCCCGGTGTGATTGTACTTTCAGGTGCCTGTGACATTTGATGATATCTCCATCTACTTTTCCACTCCAGAGTGGGAAAAATTAGAAGAATGGCAAAAGGAACTTTACAAGAATATCATGAAGGGCAACTACGAGTCGCTCATCTCCATGGGTGAGGCTGAGTTGGCGCCTTTTGAGTGAGGTGACAGCAGTTCCAAGAGGGCTCAGAACAGTCCCTTTTCCTCCATTTTCACTCTGCTCTCACAACTTTAGAGTCTGGTTCCAAGCCAAAGATTTCCAGTTCACCCTTGCTGAATAGGAAATCCTAATCGCTCCTTTTGCCAGTGCATAGGGCAGAGAATGAAGCTCAGGGTTATGGGTGTGCCAGCTGCACTCGTTTCCACAGGTGAGCTTCACTTTGAAAGGGTCTCCATCTTCCCTCCACCCCAAGGCATCCTGTTGCTCTTAATGTACATAGCCGGCGGGCGGTACTCCTGCAGCACGTGCACCTCCGCCACATATTACCTGTCCCGCTACCTGCTTTCCTGATAGGGGTCGTCATGTTGGGAGATGAGTGCTTGGGGAGAGGTGGTATAGAATCTAAAATTCCTTGGGCCTGTGGACCCCAAAGCTTCAGCTCAGCCTTGATGGCAATTAGGTGTCATCCTCACTGACCTCTCTAACTCTCTTTCCCTTCTTCTTCTCCTAGATTATGCCATGAATCAACCTGATGTCTTGTCTCAGATTCAGCCAGAAGGAGAACATAATACCGAGGAGCAGGCAGGGCCAGAGGACAGTGAGATTCCCACAGACCCCAGTGAAGGTAAGCTGGAGAACAGACTGTCCGCTGCTTGTCTCCCTTTCCGGGTCAGAAATGATGCCTGAGAACTAAGTAAGCAGGACTTGGAACTCTAGAGCCTCTCTGTGCTCAAGCAACTCGACTATGAATGGATCATCAGGCATTTAAAGGGGAGGACAGCTTAGAGATGAGGTACGCTCATCAGTACCGCACATCGAGGGCTACTAACTGCATTCCATGAAGTTCTGAGACCTGATTATTTTAGGAAAAAACATGTCCATAGATGGCAGAGAAAGCAGAGGTGCTCATCTGAAGGGAAGCAGCCTCAAAGAATATATACCCAGCTGGCTGTTAAGAAGGGCTGGAGGGGCTGGGAGTCTGCATGGTCCTCCAGAGATGCTTTTAATTAGCGGACCCCAGAGATACCACCTAGGCCAAGTGGATTTTGCCCACTTTCGGAGCCAGCTTCATTAACTCTCCCAAATTTTCTTGCTTGGTAGCTGCTTGATACCATGTGTGAAAGGCTAGCCATGTCCAGCTGTATTGTTGCTTGCAAGTCTGCTTCTGCTGGCAGAAGAAATCTTACAGTTTTTGTTCTTTGCTGGGTAGAAAGCTCACAGGAAGTTCATCTTCCAGACATCTCTATGAGAGGAACTTCCCTTAAAACCTCTCCCATTACACTGTTATTTTTTTCTAACATTTTATTAAGAAAATTTTCAAACAATCAAAAAAGTCAAAATAATTTTACAGTGGACACCTAGATACGTACAACTTAGACTGTACTACTAATATTTTACCCTACTTTCTTATCACAAAACTGTCCGTCTCTGCATCCCTCCATCCATTATTCCGTCCTGCTTTCACCATGTTTTAAAATCAATACAGACACAAATATATTTACCCGGAAGTAGTTCAGCATGAATATCAACCTAGAGTTCAATATTTGTTAATTGTTTTTCTTTTGAGGTAAGGTTTACATGCAATGAAATGCTCAAATCTTAAGTGAACCTTCTCTCAGTTTTGAGGAATGCATCTTTCTGTCACACATTCTATTATTTTTAAGAATGGGTGGGTGATTATACTTAGGCAATGTAACAGGTTGAGTTTGATTAAATCTCTGTATCAGATGTAAATAATGAGTCTAATCATATCACAAATAAAGATTGGTGGCTTGATTACAGAAAGAATTCATTATTGGAAATAACTCCTTAGTCTACTTTTTTAGTTACCTGACAATAACCCTCAGTGAGGATAAATCAGTGTGTCATTTTTGTTTTGGGGGATTACTGAGAAAGAAGTAAGTAAATAATTTCATTTTGTAATGATATATGAAAGTCATTTAGATGCCATTTTGTCAATTTACTTTTACTTGGTTTGTAAGACTCCATTTGTAGGTAGTCAACCTATATAATGTAAATATATTTTTACTTAAATGAACAAATAGTGTAAACATGGAATTTATTCAATACCCTAATTTGATTCTTTACAGTTTTAGCTTGCATTGGTGATTATCAACCTAGATATTTACCAGAACTTGAGGGTTGGAGTTATATGACTTGGACCAATCAACATATAGCATCTTTTAAAATCCTCAAATGTGTCTATCCTTTAAAAGCCTTTATATTTTCTCCCATTAGGTTTAATTATATATTCATGACTTTTTATTCATTTAATTCAATTATAGTTGACCCTTGAACAATATGGGTTTGAATTGTGTGGGCCCATTTATGCATGTGTTTTTTTCAATAAATACAGCACAGTACTATAAATATATCTTTTATGATTTTATTAACATTTTTTTTTTCTCTAGCTTTATTGTAAGAATAAGGGTATAATGTAGATAACAAACAAAATATGTGTTGATCGACTGTTTATGTTGTCAGTAGGGCTTCTGGTCAACAGTAGGCTATTAGTAGTTAAGCTTTTGGGGAGTCAGAAGTTGTACATGGATTTTCAACTGTGCAGAGGGTCAGCACCTGCAGCCCCCACATTGTCCAAGGGCCACCTATATTTTCTTTTGGTTGCTCAGATTGTCAACTTGGCAAGTGAGGAGACTTTTAAACTGTCTCCTGGGCCCATCCAGCACCACCTTAGTACTTGTTTTCCTAAAAAAAATATGTTCCAGGCTGTGTTGCAGGTCCCTCAGGCCACCCCCCAATTTGGTAATTTGCTATGATGACACATGAGACAGCATATAGTCAAGCTCAAGGCTAAGATTTATTACAGTGAAAGGATGCAAAGCAAAATCAACAAAGATAAAAGTGCACAGGGTTAAGTCTGGAGGAGACCAGACACGGGCTTCAGAGTGTTCTCTAAGTGTTGTTTAAGGACACACTGAATTCCTCTGGCAATGAGCTGTGATGACACTTACAGTGTTGTCTCCCATAGAAGCTCATTAGAGACTCAGCACCCAAAGTTTTTTCATTGGGAGCTGGTCACAGAGGCACCTTCGGCTTAGTGCGTACCAAAATTCCAGACTCCTAGTAGGAAAGCTGCACTGTTTGTACAAGCAGTTTAGGCCCAGTGAAGCGCATGAAGCATTTAGGAAAAGTCTTATATCAGCACAGGGAACTGTTTGCCAGCCAAGGGCCAATCTTGCAAGTGGTCTTTCTAAGGTTAGGCATCTTGGGCCTGCTATGTTAACACAGGCCTATTTTAGATTTTCCTTCTAAAACATTAAAAAGTTACTGGCTTCTTTCAGCGACAAATAGTATTAAACTGTCAGGTCATTAAGGTGCAGGGACAGAACTAATAAAATATCTGATAAATTATTCTCCACGTTAACCATTTAAATCATTTCATGTTGTTCTAGTAGGAAAAAACTAATCTAAGTGTTTTATTTTTGAGCAAGCAGCTTCTCTAACATCTTAAGCTTTTTAAAATCAATTGTAATACATTATGTGATTTATTGTTAAACCACTGCATTCAAATTAGAATATTGATATACTTTTAGAAACTTTAATTTTCTAAAATACATTTGTTGTTCTCCATATTTCTTAAAATAAAGCCCATAATTTATTATTCTACTTTAGAGCTTTAGGAAGAACTGCATTATAATTAAATAAAAACATGTAGATAGAAGGATTTGAGGATAGTAATGGTTCCCATATGGCACATCTGCTTTTTCATGTCCTAGGATTTTTTTATCTTGGAATTAGTTTTATACTCTGTCTCCTTCACCATCATCTGAACTGACAAAGGAAAAGAAAAATTATTACATCTTCCTTGAGAATAGTCATTGATGCCTAGTCTTGGAGACAAAATTGCATAGAATAAGTAAATAGTAGTGAATAGGAAAATGCAGAAAAATGTAAACTGGAGAGTTTTTGAAATTCTTCTTAAGTCTTAGTAGGGCTAGAATGCATACCAGCTGTGTGTGTGTGGCCATTATTTGGTGATTGATAGTTTTACTACTAAACTCCAATATTTTAACATTCTATGGGGAAAAAATGCCCAAAAGTTCAGATTACTAAAAAGTGCATTATCCAGCCCTTCAAGTTCAGAAGCCATGGATTCAAGCTAAGATTCTAAAATGAACCATAAGTAAAGTCTTGTGGTCCTGGGGGAAGACTTACTAGATCATTGTTATTCAGGGGCATCGCCATTATCCCATGTTTATCTCTGTTCCCTCTAGTCCAGCAAGGCAGTCTTTTCCTAAACAAAATCAATGATTAAGGTACATCCCAATATGACAGTCCTTGTATTTTAGTTTATCCTATTTGAGAACAAGAATTATCCTGGAAATGATAAAACAGAAGTTTTAACTCCTGTTAATAACATATAGAGCTGACTATGTTTCAGTCCCACACTTGCTTCACAAAAAATTTCAAAAAGAAGTTTTTATATTTTTACCAATGGTGGTTTCATGTGTCAAATATTTTTATTGTTTAAAATCTGTTTAAGAACTCAGATCTCAGCCCCAGTTCTAACTCACTTAGTTTATAATACCTTTGTACATATCCCAAAACTTCAAGGTTCCAGCTTCTTTTCAGATAGCATGGGCCTTTATCTGTTTAAAACACATGCACACACATAAAGTCAGATTTCCTCATAGTTAAAATAACATTCAACCAGTGTAGACATTAAATTTTTTTATCTCCTTGTGATCAACCTTTCTATCTTCAACCCTCTCAAACTGAAAACCTCTGCATTTATTGACTTCCTCTTATGTCATCAGTATTCAGTTTTTGTCTATTTTCTGGCTTTAACCAAAGCCTGCTGCTAGCATGAACCAGTGATTTCACTTTCATTTTGTGTGTCTCTAAGTATCCACTGTTGGGATTCCTCGGGCTTGGGAGGAATGTGATTTGCGTGCCACTGTGGTGACCTGGCCAGCAGTTGCCATAATGTCGAAACGCAGGTATCTGTACTAGGCCATCCTAGTAGTCAAGTTCTTCTGCTCCTTTTATTTTACTTCCAAAAGGTCCTCAGGTTATATACACCTACCATTCCCACCAAACTGTAGTAGATGCTACTGTATTCTATGCATTCTATGGCAGTAGTGCTAGGACCCAATTATTCAATAAAATATTTGCTTGGCTATACCAGCCTATTTAAAGACCAGAGGAAAGTTTTGGGTTGTTATTCAGAAAGAATGGTTAGCTCCTTGGGTTTTCCAAAGTTCAGTGAAGACATACTTACCCAGAGGGTTCTAATAATGCAGCTGCTTACATTTCTGAAGAACTTCATTGGATTTGTTTTGGCCCTCCATAGCTTTTATGGTTGACTGCTGACTAATATTGTAACAAAAGATGGGAAAGAATCCAAATGCCCATCAATAGGGGACTCTTGAATAAACGATGGTATAGTTTATCATACAGCTATAAAAAGGAATGAGCAGGATCTCTGTATGCTGCTGCAGACACATACCAAGAATATATCGTCAAGTAGACAATCAAGGTACAAAAGAGGTTGTGTTGTATGCCACACAGAGAGGGAAAACATGAAGAAAAATACATATTAGCTTATATTTTCACAAAGGAACAATGGAAGATTAAAATAAAAGCAGTAAGAATAGCCACTTACACAGGGAGAGAGAGTATAAATGGAAGCTAGACCTCTTTGAATGTACCTTATTTTATAGTTTTGATTTTGAAACATTGTAAATATTTTACATAATTAAATTTAAAAAATCTAATACATGCTGAAATAACTAAACTGTATCATGTTGGTGACATAGAGTTCTTTTAAGTGACATTAAAAAAACAATGTTTTAACTATATATTCCTAGTTCCTATAGGGATATATCCTAAAGACTAAAAGATAAAAGAACCACTAAAAAAATCTTAAATTGAGTTCATATTTTTGTTAATAATATTGGTATTATTTTGAAACATGATTCAAATAAAGCAAGGATTATGTTAATGTTACTAGGAACCAAAATTTTCAGGGTAAGAGAGGGAAGATACCAGTATAAAACTGAAGGATTTAATTAAAACCCTGTAATATTAAATATGAATCATAAATATCAATGTAAACTCATGACATCTTTTTTCTCAAAGATACGACATATTTTCTGGTTCTGTCCATTGAAAAGACCTGGAAGCGACAATAGCCCATTAGTCGTTAGCATCCTCATCATCCAGATTGTAGTCTCTAAATTCCGTTTCTCAGAGAGATCGTTGTGTGCTTGGAGCAGGAAATGTGCAAGACCAACCTGGGATAGTTTGTCATAACCAGAAATTAAGGACACTAGATGTTTGATGATGTGAAAAGACATAGTTGATCTGAAGGTTCTCCTGCTGGCCAAAAAAGGGACAACTTGAGCATTAAAAGGAATGACTGCAATGGATTGAAACTCATCAAATGTATAATATTCTATGCGCTCATGATGATAAAAGTCCAAACCACGTAAATCACATCCAGGGGTTATAGAGCACTGGCTCATTTTTTTCCGAAAACTGATGAAGAGGAGCAATTAAGCATTTTAATCTCATATTTTTGATGAACAGAGAGTGCATCCTCTGGATGTCTGTGTTACAAGACCTTCTTCCTTATACCATCTCTCCCATCCTGTTTTTTTCTATATATATTGTGTGTATAAAATCTAGAAGAAAAAAAAGGATGGACTATGTTTAATATATTTCAACCTGTGGCTTAAAGTAGGATGTTGGAAAGGCAACCTGCAGCCTGCACTAAAACATGTATTTTTCTGGTCTCTGCATGACCTGACAGTCTTATTTCTGCTTTGGGTGGTCTTTAACTGATGTAAAAGGCATTGGGGAAAACAGTGAGTTCTGCTCATTTGTTAGGAATAAACCATAACCTGCCTACAAGGTTTTTTTGAGAAGTAATATAAAGAACTTGAGTATACTCTCTGGACTGTGTCAGGCTTGCCAGCTTGTCCTTTTAGGCCAAAAATGGCTATATAGGTCTCAGCTGGAACAGCAAACACAGTTGTTTCTCTACTGACCAAAGGAGGCATGTTACGTGCAAAGCCTTTGGAGGCTGTTCTTTTTTCTTTCCAAAAGAATCCGCAAGGCCGGAGGGGCTTGCGTATACTGTTCTCCCCTGCTCAGGGTTCAGGAAACAATGACCTGGATCATTTATTAGGCAAAGGTAGTATCTCTTAGAAACAGCTGAGAATTGGGAATCAGAAAAGTATTTCTGAAGAGTCAGACGTGTGTTTAAACTGACATGACTTTGTAATTCTGGAAATGTATTTGTTTTCTAATTCACAGTTAAGACAAACACAAACTTTTGGTCAATCTTGTTTCTTTTGCTGCTTCCTGCTGTATATTAAATCAAATCTTTGATAGTATGGTGTCCCAACATAATTACTTCCTTACTGGCAATTTAACCTCTATGGGTCTTCTCTACTTAAGTAGAAAAAATACCCCCTTCTCCACTTTTTCATTAAAAAGCTGTGAGAGATCAAAGTGAAAACATTTTGAACGTAAGAGTGCTAATGAAGTGAAGGGTATCGTTGATGCTAGATTATTTCAGGGTGTCGGCTCCAAACTAAAATCATGACTTGTTTTGGAAATGGCTCACTGAAAACAGTGATTCAAGCTGAATATATCATGTAAAGATACATCAGTCTGATTTCATTTTGAACCGGTTCTCTAGGTGTTGTGTGTAGTTTTTAAAAGGTTGGGTCTGTTTTGTTGTTAGAGATAAATATTTGGACAAAACATAGTGTTCAGCCATGAAATAAACCACCATGATTATTTTCACCTTCTGAGTCAACCCTTGACAGCCATTCTCTTTTCCCCACAAATAGAGCCTGGCATTTCAACATCGGATATTCTGTCTTGGATCAAACAAGAGGAAGAGCCCCAGGTTGGGGCTCCACAGGAGTCCAAGGAGAGTGACATGCACAAGGGTGCCTACGCCGGTGAGTGAGGAATTGGGTAGGTGCTCGTGGCCAGACCTGGATTGTGGCAGGACTGGGGAAACATCAGACAGGGTGGGTTGTGGAGGCAAGGACGCGGGAGATGGACAGGGAAAAGTTAGGGGGCTTAAGAAAAAGACTTGCTCAAGTAAGTTAGAAATGAAACTGAAATCAAACTAAGATAAATTTTAAGTGAACGTACTTGTAAGTGTAAAGATAAATTAGAATTGTCAGAGAAAGAAAAATAACTGTGTACTGATGGACCCGACATACAAGGATGGGGAAGGACAGAAGAACATTTGGGGGTCATGTAGAAGAGGTACAACAGACACGGGGGCAGGGTGAGGGAGAGAAGGAGGGACAGGCCGTGGGGACCAGACTGTCAATGGGGAGGTACAGATGGGAGTGACAATGCAGAGCTTCACCTTAGGAACAACAGTGGTGGCAGAAGAAACAGACAGCTTCCTTCTGAGATATTTAGCACCATCTATATTTTGTTATCTGAATTATAGAAGAGGATTTCAAGTTTGGAAGGGACCCAATTGTATATAACTTAATGCAACCTGTTTTTTAAAATCTTCTATGCCCTATGTTCTTTTAGTCTCTAGGAAATAAAAATAAAAGACAGTTTTGTTCTTCACGATATTTATATTGGGGACACACATGTCAATACTAGGTATGCCTGTTAGGTGTCAAGGGTGAGTGGAACCAATGAGTTAGACTACATAAAGGAAATGAGACTTTACATCGGTGTTAGTACAGCTATTGAGGTAAGGCCTGGAGAAGGGATGCGCTACAAAAGGGAGGACAGAATGAGCAAAGAGGAAGAAGCAAAAATGTGTACTTTATTTTCAGGGAAAGTGAAGAGACAGCTAGCAGTCCTCAAGGATTTATCTGGCAAATAAAGAGGAATAGGAGTAGATAACTGTGATTTTAGGCCTTGTCGCAATGGGCAACGGAATCTTTCAAAGCTTGTGAGCAGAGGAGAAACTTAATGAAAGTCATGCAGGGGAGACTGATGCTAAGTTCCTCCTTTTCCAAACCAACAGCACGGAGGCGGCTCAGCAGTAAGGCCTCTGGCGATTCGCCGCAGGGACTGCAGGTGCCTTCCTTACTCAGCCCTGCACCCGCACCTCGGCTGGCCAGTTAAGCGCGCAGGGCCGCCTGTCAGAGCTGGGTAGGCACAAGGAGAATTGCCATGGCAGGTGTTGACGGGCATGACTCTGAATCCTTTCTTGCAGATGAAGAGCTTGTCATCAAGGCTGAAGGCCTTGCCAGAGCCTCCCTGTGCCCTGAGGTTCCAGTCACCTTCTCTTCTCCACCAGCAGCAGGAGCAAAGGAAACTTTTTCAGATGTGGCCTTCAAAAGCCAGTCTGCATCCATGACACCTTTTGGACGTCCAGCCACTGACCTGGCAGAAGCCTCTGAGGGCCAAGTGACTTTTACTCAGTTGGGCAGCTACCCGCTGGCACCTCCAGCTGGGGAGCAGGTATTCTCATGCCACCACTGTGGCAAGAGCCTCAGCCAAGACACGCTGCTGACCCACCAGTGTAGCCATGCTGGGGAGCACCCCTTATCCTGTGCCCAGTGCCCTAAGCACTTTGCTCAGCAGGCCGACCTGAGCAGCAGCTCCCAGGCCCATGCCAGTGAGACACCCCCCACCTGCCCACACTGTGCCAGAACTTTCACTCACCCGTCGAGACTCACCTACCACCTTCGGGTACATAACAGCACTGAGCGCCCTTTCCCTTGTCCTGACTGCCCCAAGCGCTTTGCCGACCAGGCCCGACTCACCAGCCACCGGCGAGCTCATGCGAGCGAGAGGCCCTTCCGCTGCCCGCAGTGTGGCCGCAGCTTCAGCCTGAAAATCAGCCTCCTGCTCCACCAGCGGGGGCATGCACAGGAGCGGCCCTTCTCCTGCCCCCAGTGTGGCATTGACTTCAATGGCCATTCGGCCCTGATTCGCCACCAGATGATCCACACGGGCGAGCGTCCTTACCCGTGCACCGACTGCAGCAAGAGCTTCATGCGCAAGGAGCACCTGCTGAACCACCGGCGGCTGCACACGGGCGAGCGGCCCTTCAGCTGTGCGCACTGCGGCAAGAGCTTCATCCGCAAGCACCACCTCATGAAGCACCAGCGAATCCACACGGGCGAGCGGCCCTATCCCTGCACCTACTGCGGCCGCAGCTTTCGCTACAAACAGACGCTCAAGGACCACCTGCGCTCGGGCCACGGTGGAGGCTGTGGGGGAGATGGCGACCCACCTAGACAGCCGCCGGACCCCCCAGGGCCCCTCCTAACTGGGCTGGAAGCCTCGGGCCTCGGCGTCCATGCTGAAGGTCTAGAAACCAATCAGTGGTATGGGGAAGGCAGTGGTGGGGGAGTCTCGTAAATCTCCCACCTGTGCTCACGGGAGGGCACGAGAAGAGCCCGTGAGCCCCTGCGCGCCCACACTGATCACCATTTGGCACGTCGGTGAGTTTGGGGTCCTGCACACCTGACTAGGGACGTGCTTGAGTTTTGGAACTTCACAACATTTTGAGAACACCACATTCTGAAACACAGAAAGACCTGGAAAGGAGCCCAGCACCCCCTTCTTTTCAACAATATGACCTAATCAGAAGTTACAGGAGTGTCGCAGAGATTGGGAAGCAAGATTTGGCCTCTGGTAATCCGTCACAGGGTAATAGATTGATAATGATTGTGGCTGTAGATGGAGACGGGTGCCTGGGAAGAGCCTGCAAAACGCCAAGCCCATTGTGAGGCGCCACAATGTGTCTGCCTGAACCTCATTAATTCCTCGATGGTCTGGTGTTCGCGAGGAGTGCTCAGGCCCCCATCCATGTCCGTGTTCCTCCCAGCACCAGCTAAAGCCCGCTCCTGTGCTCATGTACCTGCCTCCCCCGAGAAGAGACTGCCTTCCGAGGGTTGCTAGGTTAATTCTGCTAATACATTCTGTTTCATATTGTATGAGCAAGGAATCTGACTTCCAAAGCTCCTAAGGAGAACAGTTCTTAACTTTCACTAGGTTGATTTGAAGCATTCAGGCCCTTACTGGTATTCAAACTGCTAGAAACCTTTGTGGACATCCCTGGTTAAAAAATTGGGCAGTGTTCTCAGCCCCAGCTTTAAAAGCTAAAGATCCCAGAGAAATGGCAGAACAGCCTAAAATGCGTGCCTGAACCATGTTTCTTAGAGTCATTTATGTCAAATTCTTCCTTTTCATTTCCATGCCAATAAGCTGGCTTTCCCGTCCCAGTGTCTGATATTCTTGACAATCGTCAGCAGAAAAGATCACAGCCCTTTCCAGAAGCATTACCAGGTTTGAGAGAGTGCCGGTGGGCTCTCGGCTTTTTCTTCCTCGGTGATGAGATGGTAGTGCTATAATGCAGCTTCTTGAGCCATCAGAGGGTGTGTGTTCACACTGTCTGGCTCTCCCCCATTGGCAATGGACAACCTAAGGGACTTCATATGGATTCCCTGAGAGCTGAGTACCGTGTACAGACAAGAAGAGATTTTTCTGGCTTGTTTTGCTTGTAGGGCCCTGGCTATCATCTGTCCCTTCGTTGGGGACATTCAGTCACCTGGGAGCATCTGAGCCTGGTCCAACTCCAAAGTGGCTTTGCAATTGGACATAAATTCCTTTCCTTTTATAGATCTCAAATTTTATCTGCAAAATGAGGTTGGTGAAAGAAAAAAGCGAGTCTCTAGAAATTTTTTTTTTTCCCGTCTTGTGACACGTTCCTTCTCCTGCCAAAATCCTATCACTCTTCTCTGGCTTCTATCCAGGCAAAGCCAAATGAGACCCCAAAATCAAAGCAGAGACATCTTGCTAAACTTTGACTGAAGTCAATTTGATTTGTTGTTTTGCTCTTGCTTGGAGCCTGAGGTGGAAGACAGAAAGAGAATGCAGAAGCCCTGAGTCTTGGGCAAAAAAGCTGTTTATTCCTGCACTCTCTTGTTTCCCAGCCCAACCTTTACCCGGCCTAGCTATGCATAACCATACTAGTAAAACGCGTTACCCAAGCTAGCTTTGCTCCCAGGAAGGCCCTGACTCAACATGCAGCTCTTTAGGATAACCACATTTATAAAACATCTGCTCTGTGACATTCATAATACCAAGGACCATGGGAGACCTAAGAAGTGTGTGTAGACCTAAGCTGCCATAACTTAATGGTCTGCAGGTGATGAAAAACCCAAGGGTATATCTAGAACAGACCAACACAGAAGATGGATAGATCCCTGGGATCCAGAGCTTCCTAGCTAGGATCTGGACCCCTACCATGGGAGTATCTGGGGGACTGGGAATCCCAAAGCTAGGGTTCCAGCATTCCTGGTGACCCACTGGAAACCTGAGTGTGAGATCCAGCTCTGATTTGCACCTTCATCTCCTAAAGAAAAGGGGAAAGAATCAAAGCACTACCTTCAGATGGTGAGCTCCCTTTTCTGAACAGATGTAAGCATTTGCCAGGGCCTGCTGGAGGAGGGACTCCTATAGTAGGTGTGACATTGGACTAGACAACATTGAAATGTCCTTTTTACTCTAAGGTTTACTGAGGACACAGAACTCATTAATGAAGGAGACCTGGGGATTAAAGGCTGTGGATGGATCCCACAATCCTTGTGGCCAGCAAGGACAGTTCAGATACAACGAGGCAAGAGCCTTGCAACTGAATGAGGGGGGATGAGCAGAACCCTGCCAGAGAGATGGGAGGAGGTGTCATCCAGGTCCGCAGCCTCGTGCAGACAGGGAAGTTCAGTTGCTGTCCATTCTGCTGTCTTCCTCCACCAGTCCTCTACCAGGTGGAACTCCAGGCCAGCTCCGAGTTAGGGTTTGTTTGCTTAAGATTCAAGAGTGGATAAGAAAAATGAGTCCTTGGGAAAGATAAGTCCAACCAAAAGGTTTGTGTGTGGAGAAACTTGGTCTACCAAGAGCTCCTGCGAGAACCATGTGTTCACCTCTGTAGTTGAGAAGTACCTGGGCATCGGTCGTCGTGACCAGACAGGATAGGAAAGAGGAAAACCCAGAAACGTGCTCTTTGTCGGTTGGTCCTCTGGGCTGACAGGTCTATTCTATCATAAATGGGCACCAGCCCCTTGGAGTGGATCCAGGAGTTGACTATAACCAGATTCATTCTTTGCTTACTAGATTTTTCATTGTCACCATTAGAGGAAGAGGAACCTCTGGTTCAACCACAGATGTGAAAGTAAGTGGAAGTTGATTGCTGGTCTGGAAAGTGAAAGGAAGTGACTGGTCCTTCCTGCTGGGTATTTGACATTGGAAACATTGTAACTGAGCTCTGGCTAGAGCAGCGCTTTACAGAACTTTCTCATCACTAATAATAAAGTCTGCAAAATTCCTGGTGGGGCAGTCTGTCAGGCTTCTTTTGGAGCATTTTTTAGAGATCTGGATATCCACGTCTGTCTCAACCAGGACCTGACCCTGTGGCTTACTGGGGAATAACAAATGTTCAGTGTCTTAGTCTGAAAAATCCTTGTTGATAAAAAAAAGACCAGAATTCCATTATTCATTCCAATAATGAATTTGGAAAACCCGAATTTCTGCTCACATTTCCTCTTAAGAGTCAGAACACCCCATCCTTCCACCCCCCCAACCCCATATGTAGCTTAGACAACCCTGAGGATTGCTCAACATTAGTGAGTAAAAGCCAGTCTTTCCCCCAAAGACTCTTACAGACGAGGAGCTCTGTTATCAGATGTGTGTTTTCTGTGTGCTTGGATGCCTTTGACCCTGTTCCCTTCACTATAAAGAAGCAGTCACTTCTCACAGGTTTTATACACGGAGGACATCTTTTGACTTGGGGAAGGGTCAGCTTTTACAAGCAAAACACCCACAAGTCAGGCCAACCTGGTGGGTGGGGATGGGAGTGCACAGGGCCTTAACATAGGGACACAGGTTAGTACAGCTTAACGGGTTAGGGCATGGACTCTGGGTCAGACAGATTCAAGTCCTGGCATCATTAGGAATAACAACCAATACATTATGTAACCATCATGAGCCTAGTTCGTTATCTGTAAAATAGGGAGAATGTACTTAAGTCTCAGAGGTGTTAGGGCTTAGGGGGAAAGTTGTGTAAAGTGCTTAGCACAGAGCCACCAGGTGTCAATATGGCAGCCATCAGGGAAGATACAGGACCAACCAGGGGGAGGGTCATAAAGCCAGGCTGAACTTGAAGCGGCAAGTGGCAAGAACTGAGGCTGCTGTGCAGAAGTGCACGGTCACTTGAGGTCCCAACCTTTGTGTGCCATCGCCGCTTCTAGTCAGCCTGTTCTTCCACTCTGTCTTTTCTGTACTGGCTCCCACATATTTCTGTGTCCATGACACCCCATGGGGTTTCTGATTCTCCTGGTGTTTTCTAGGTTCACATTCTAAGGTGTAGGGTCTTGCCCAGCTCCTCTTTCTACACCTGGCCGAGTTTCCAGCCCACCCTTGGGTTACATGCTCATCTTGGTCCAGCCAGCTAGTCAGGAGGAAAGGGCCTATGGTCCCAGCAATGTGTGAGCCTGGTAGATTCACTCGGGAACAGGCAAGTGGCACAGTTTAACATTCCTAGTAGTACCAGGATAAGAGGAAATCTGTTTCGCCTGTATCAGGGTTCCTTAAAAGACTTCTACTTCAGTAGCACTGTGATAGCCCAGAGCTTATTGTTCCTTGCACAAAAATGGTCTTGCAAAAGGAGTCGATAGTCACTTTCTAGGACATTGTTCCTCCCTTCCTGGTCCTGTTCCTGTTTAAATGTATAACTCTGGCCATATTCACACACACACACACACACACTGACTTTCATCAACTTGGTCAAATTGCCTCTTCAAAACAAAAAAGTTTTTCACTCCTAAGTCAACCACCCCCTAAAGAAAGCCGATAAATGCAGGCCAATCAGAAGCTGCACAGGCAGTGTGCCACAGTACCCAGAAACGGCCAGCTGGTATTTAAGACATTTGATAGAGCCTCACTGGGCTATATGGCTTTGTGTTCATTTATTAGCAAAGCTGGTATTTACTGTAAAATCTTAAAGCCAGTCTTAAAAATTAAGCTTCTGAGAGCAGAGGCCTTGTCTTATTTTGTTTCCCTCATGGTGCTACATGCTGCCGGGGATATGGATGCTCCATGAATAGTTGTACAGAGGGAAGACCACCTGGGTAGGGGGTTAAAAACAATTCTGGTCTGAGCTTGACATTCACTACCTACTTGTAAGGGAGCAAGCCACTTAATTTGTGTACATTTCATTTTCCTAAATCTAATGTGCAGTTTGGACACCACAGTTAAATGTAAGGTCCCTTTCAACTCTAAAATCATTAAATTTAAGATTTTACATCCAGGTTCCTGTTTTCCTTGCCTGGTTTCCCCCCAGATGCTGCCCTATTGAGTAATTTGACACAGCAAAATAAAACGTTGGGAAGGTATGATGCATTATTGCAGAATAGAGACTCTCATTCTAACCATATTATAATTACTCCAAAGCCACACAAATTGACAAAATTCTAGCAAAACTATAAAATTTGGTTTTAAATACCCAGTATGCATTTTGCATTTTTTAATCATAGGAAAATAAAAAAACACAACAAAATAACAATGGTTGTTCTAGGGTACTGGGATCATTCAGTGGTTATTTTTCCCTGCACATTTTGTATATAGTATTTTTAATGCTTTTATAAGAATTAGGATTATTGTAATGAGAAAGATACCGTATCAGGAGGCCAGAGTTTTAATCTTACTTTGGTTTTCTCATTTGTAGTGTGAGGGTGATAATCGACTTTACCAAGTTTACACTTATGAAGCTCACATGCAGAAAGGTCTTAAAAAGTGTCTTGAAACATATTGCAGGTGTAAGAAGATAATGTTGATATGCTACATACAGGAGAATTACTTGTTGACCAGTGAAAAACTTTCCTGGATTTTGCTGGTGCTTCTCTTCATTCGGGACTGGGCAGTGGTCATTCCTTCACCTCCAGGCTGAAGCCTGTGCTGGGGAGAGGGTGGCCCGAGGCTGCAGTTTGGAGAGCAGGAGAACAGAAGTGTGTGTGGGCAGAGACCGAAGACAAGGTTTGATGCAGAAAACATGAGGTTGCCCCATATGTGTTCGCTTCCACCAGCAACTTATGCAAGATAACCAGTTTTATGTATATGAGGAGTTACAAGAATTAGGAAAGCAGGCACATTACTGGAGTGTGCAGGTTAAACAGAATTCCAAATTAAGGAAGTACATAATGCTATGTATATCAAGTCAGTTCTTGGCTCTGAGTTGATAGTTTTTGAAAATTGTGTAAGAAAAACAACATCTACAAGCTAAGCTCAGAGTAAACAGCAGGATAAAAACAATGAGCAAGAATAATTATATCAATATATTTCTCTTGTTTACCAGTACATAATAATTCAGGATGTTCGTTTCCCCAGGGTGGTCTTGTGGGGCTAAGGCAAGGATGTGAGAAATAGCAGGGGGATTCTGTTACCCTGGCTGGTTCTTGACTAAGCATTAGAATAACCTAGGGAACTTAAAAAATATTCCAGGGCCTACCCTGGCGTGATTTCATTTACCTGGGTTGCAGTCCAGGTGTTTTGTTTTTTAGCATTACTCCCAAGTGATTCTAATGTGCCCAAAAGTTTAGAAGATTATATTTAGAAGGAGAAAGTGAATTACTGGACTGGAAATGACCAGTTAGCCTGCATTCCTGGAGCAGGGAGCTGTGGGTTAGAGATTAATACAGGGTTTTTGAATCCACAATGGGAAGGCATAATTTGATTCTTGAGGAAGGGCTCAGAAGGAAGTGAGACTATGGAAATGGTTGTTGGAAAGTTGACTGAGCTCAGTGGTTAAGGCAGAAGCTCCAAAGGTAGCGGCAAAAGCAGCGGTCATTTCAGCAGGGCCACTGCACATTCTGCCCCGAGACCTGGAATATAGAACCCTGGCAGGCACCGGATGAGCACAGGTGGGAACGGTACCAGCACCTGTACTGCAGACCTCTGTAGCCTCTAGCGTGGTGAGATCAGCACCTCCCTGTAAGAGCAGTTTGCTGAAGAACAAAAGGGACCTTGGTGACATCATTACCAGCTCAGATTTGACAATAATACATGGTTTAAACTTATTTGCTGCATTTAGAAAACCCAGCATTATTCGGCATGAACACTCGACTTTATTTTGAATTTGACTATTTTCAGTAATCAGATCTACAGTTACAAGGAGAAGGGTTGCTCACTGAGAAGATTCAGGAGAACACAACTGCAATTATGACCAACATAAAACATGTCTTCTGCATAAAGGGTTTCTGAGCCCTAGGTGCCTGTTGCACTTCAGCTATCGAGTAGCTTGCTCACTTAGTCACCCAAGCAATTGCATATTCATTGAGACTGAAGAAAGTACCATAGAGTCATTAGGAACCGAAGAGAAGCCAATGAACTTCACTTATCTACTGTGCCAAGACTTGTAAGGAAGGTGATGAAATGCCTGTTTGGAGTAGGCTGAGAAAAAACTTGAGGTAAAAGTAGTCTTTTCTCCAAACTTTCTGAAAAGCAGAAATTTTCAGAAATTAGGGCAAGGGAAAATGTGTGTATGTTGGGAGGGGCATTTAAGTCTGAATAAAAATGTTGACAAAAGGAGGATCTGAAAATGGCAAGCAAGTTGAAAACTCAGCAAGAGCAAATTGACGTTAAAACTATAATATTTGTGATCACATCAATACTTTTTGCCTCTTCTAAGAAGTCTTGGAGCTTTATTGCCTTACCCTCAGCAGCCCTGTGCTCCATAAAGCCCTGTGTCTGAATTTTAATCACACTGAGGATGTCAGTGACTTTGAAATCTAAGGAGTTAGCCTTCCTTAGAGATTGGCATAACTGGAGACAGTGTCATAAGGTGAAGATAGGAAGTTGTAGCCATGGACATGCCAGTGAGTGAGGGGAGCTTGAGGGTCTGAGGCTGCCGTTATCCCTGTCTCATTGGTTACATAGCAGTCCCTAAGCCTGCATGTTACATTAGGCATGGCAGACACCAAGATAGAAGTGCAGATCTGGTTACCCTCTTCACTTAGCTAAGAGTAAATCCAGAGGCTTTCTTCTTCAAATAAAACTTGTAGTTGTTGAAAGGACATGGGTACACAGGGCACACCAAGAATTCTGAGGAAAAGGTAGACACATGTATTAGGGTTCTCCAGAGAAACAACCAAAAGGATATATAGAGATAGAGGAGATTTATTAAAGGAAATAGCTCATGCAATTATGGAAGCCAAGAAGTCCCATGATCTGCCATCTGCAAGCTGGAGAGCCAGGAAAGCCAGCGAAGTTCAAAGGCCCACAAACCAGGAGCACCGATGAGGAAGGGCAGGAGGAGATGGGTCCCAGCTCAGGGAAAGAGCTATTTGCCCTTCCTCTGCCTTTTTGTTCTATTCATGCCCTCAACGGGTTGGATGGTGCCCACCCTCTTTAGTAAGGGAAATCTTTAATCAGTCTACTGATTCAAGTGCACATTTTTTTTTCCTGGAAATAACTTCACAGACACACAGAGAAATGTTTTACCTCTGATCAGGACATCCTGTGGCCCAGTCAAGTTGATGCATGAAATCAATCATCACAACATGAAAATGTCCTGGCATTTATGACATCCCTTCCCTTTGGCCTCTCCTAGATCCTTTAGTTCAGCATCTATCATTTCAAATGCCCTGCAAGAGCAGTAGCTATGGAATTCCTAGGTGAGGAGATGAAAAGCAGTCAGTTCCCACCAGAGAGATTGAGGAGCCAGCCCTCGGTCCTTCCAAGAAATGTTTATTAACAATGATACTTGACTTTTATAATCCCGTTTATCCCAGTTGCTCATGCTGCTCTCGGTAAGTTAGCTAAGTGAGTAGCTTTGCTCATTCCATGACAGTGAACTGAATCTTGGCCCTGGGCAGCCACCTTCTGACTGCAAGGGGAGAAAGCGTGGATATGGCTGTGTGAGAATCCACCATCTGTGGAGGAGAATTGGGAATTCTGTGGTGTCTTACTGTGTAAATAGGGAAGTGGTTATTACAACTAGCTTAATGCTTAGGAAAGGATGTAGTTTTAACTGCTTTACCCTGAAAAAATAGCTTAAACTCTTGGGCTAACCTAGCTTTTCTTTTCCACCTCTATGAAAGAGGCAAGATGGTTGACAATACATAGGTCAGAATGTTTGCTCTGAAATGTGTCTTGCTGGTGGAAATGAATTTACATGAAGCTGTTAAGACTCAACTTGCCTGGTTTCTCTAATAATAATGGGCATGACAGTTACAATCAGGAGCAAATTGTGGCCAGAAAATAGAGGCAAGGAGGTCATAGACTTTTGGGAACATAATCTTCGCTAGCCTGTAAGCTCCTTGAGGATAGTACTGGGTCCATGAGATACTCATTCTGTATCCTGAAAGAGTGCCTAACACAGAGGACTTGACAATTGTCCTGAAAATCATGCTCTAAGCCCATGTCTCTCTTGGGCCAATAATATCCTTCATTTTTTTAAGTGCAGTGGAACAAAAGTGTCCTAGGCTTTGGTGGTTCTGCTACAGGTCTGCCTTTACACGGGGCTATAATAAATCTTGAGATCTCTGTCTTAAGATAAGGAGTAGATAAGAAGACAAGTAGACACTAGTTTGAGGATTATTGACTTTTAGGGGTAACTACCTTTGTTGAATGCTACTATGTGCTAAGCACTGTTCTCATCTCATTTGATTTTGCAACTGCAGAGTAGGCATTTTCTCCATTTACATATCTAAAGATCGAGTGAAGCTCAGAGAAGTTAAATAAATTGCTCACAGTCACAGCGTGTGTGTGGTGATTTTGGAATTTAAACTCAGGTATATGCAACTGCAAAGCCCACCCTCTGCCTAAACAGTACCTGTCACATAGTAGGTGCTCAGTAAATATTTGTGAAATAAATTTCCCCTTCCTCCCATATTCTCTATCAGCCTTCCCTGGCTTCTCCCTAGTTCCTGCTCTGACTTGGCCTGATGTTTCAATGTGCCGTTGACCTATATATAAAGGTTTTGGAGGAGGCTGCTGATGATACAGCAGCGCACCTTACCTGGGAGGAAGGACGGGCCCTCCTCCGGCTCATTAGCCCTTATCATTTCTCTCATCATCCAGACCAATGCAAAGGCCTGGCACTGTTCCACGTTAATTTAGATTGAGAGCAGGGAGAGAGTTGGTGAAGTCTGCAAGGGAGTGAGGGAGGTGAAAGGGCAGAAAGAGTCTGGAGACACTCTTGCAAAATTTTCAAAAGGGTCAGGCACCATATTCCTTTGGGATGCCCAATACATATTTGCGGAATTAGCAGAAATCAAGCCCTCGGTTCAAGATCCTGCATTTGGGCTGAAGGGAGCTCACCCCAGACGGAGGGGCCCGAGCGAGCGAACCAGCCCAGGGCCACTTCGGGGCGGCGGTGGCCCGGCCCCGGAGTGGCCCCGCCATCCCCGCAGGCGGGCCGGCACTCGCAGGCCATTGGCTGGCGCGCGGGCTGCGGAGGGGCGGGAGCGCCGCCGAAGGGGACTGTTTGCTCCTACGGGCTGTAGATGGAGCTGTCCGGCCCCGGCGAGGGGGAAGGCGCCTGGAAAACGTTCTTCTTCTCCCTGGCCGGCCCGAGCGGGGAACAGCACTCCCAGGATGCAGTTTGTGTCAACACGGCCGCAGCCTCAGCAGCTGGGCATCCAGGGCCTGGGGCTGGACAGCGGGAGCTGGAGCTGGGCCCAGGCGCTGCCCCCGGAGGAGGTCTGCCACCAGGAGCCGGCGCTGCGCGGGGAAATGGCCGAGGGAATGCCGCCCATGCAGGTGGGTGCAGCCCCCGCCCAGCGCCATGGCCGCGCGGGTCCGTGGGGGCGGGGCGCGGGCCGGGCGGCCGCGACACCGAGGCCCCCGGCGGCCCGGGCGGCGGCCCTGGGCAGGCCCGGCCCCGAGCGGCGCCGGAGGAGGCCCGGCCCGCGCGAGCGGCAGGCCCCCGAGGCCGCGTGCGGGCCGGGCGGAGCCGCGCCCGGGGCCTGCGGGGCGGAGGCCCGGACGCGCCGTCCCGGGACCTGGCGGGGCCTGACCGCGCCTCCAGCCCGGCCCGGGCTCGTCTTCGCGCGGGCCGCCCTCGTGGCCCGGCCGGGGCGTGTGCGCACTGGCGCGCCCCATCGGCTTCCACCGGAGCCACTTTGACGCAACGATGTCTTAAATGTCGCGTTGCCATCTTTCACCAGGTATAGCGAGTCATTCGCTTTTCTCCTGCCCCGGTGTGATGGAGGAAAGGGGCCACTGAGAGGGGACTTTGCCTTCTTTCCTGCGCTTGGCAAACTTGGCTGCACGTTAGACTCACCCGAGCAGCTTATAAGACTCCTGAGGCCCAAGCCCCCTCCCAAACCAGCTAAACCAGCCTCTCTGGGCTTGAGAGTAGGCACCAGTCATTTCTTAAAGCCCCACAAGGATCTCCATGTGCAGAGGAACTGGAGAGCCAGTGCTCCAGCATTGTGTGCAAACAGGGGAGGAGGGGGGTGCAGACTGAGGCCTGGATAGCTTTCCCAGGAGGAAAGTGGGAGCTGACGGTGGGCCGGACCCTGCAGAGGCCCCCTCTGCTCCTGGCTTGGTTCTCAGCCACCTGACAAGTCAGCCAGGAGTTGCTGTGTTGTGTTTAATCATTTTTCAGCTTTAGGTCTCAAGATCTGAGAGAAGTAGACCGTGCTCCCTGACTTGATAAACTTGTGTTGGCAGCCCTTGTCCCCTTCTGTGGGCCAGGCAGGGGTGAAGCCTAAATGAGCTCAAGTGGATGGCTTTGCTAGAAATACCACCACCTCCTAGGGCCCTGCTCCCCTTTCTCCCATGTCATTGCGTGATTTCCTGGAAGCTGTGGGTGTTCCCCTGTGGCTCTCACATCTGCCCTGAGTTAGGGAAATTGACATGCCTGTCCCTGGCCTGCCCAGGTCACCTCTAAGAGGCAGGTCTTCACTTTGCCCAGCCTGAGGGCCTCTTCAGCAGCAACAGGGAGAATAGAAAATGACAGCCTCCTCCCATCCCACATGGCAAGGAGAGGCAGGTATCAGCCCTGGGTGCTGGCACAGTATGGGGCCAGTTCCCAAGTCACCAGTGAACTGGGACACCTTCTCTTGTTGGTCATAGGGCTTAGCTCCAACCTGCACCCACAGGGCCTCACCTTCTGAGGGGGACAGCAGAATTGGGAGGTGAAGGGAGGCCATGGAGGCAAGGGCTGGGAGGGCTTCTCTTCCCCTTAAGTAAACTCATGACCAGCCTGACTCCTGCAGGCAGGAAATGGGCTGGTTAGCTGGGCGGTTGCTCAAGCTATTCGCAGGGACGTTAGTGAACACTATAGCCTGAGAGGCGGGGGCTCAGCAGAAGCATAAGAATCTATGGCATCTGATTAGATGTCCCTGCACTTAGGCTGCCCTCGTCCATCATGCAGGGTCTCATCCCAGGCTGTCACTTTCTCCCTCTGCACACAGGCTCAAGAATGGGACATGGAGGCCCGGCGACCGATGCCTTTTCAGTTCCCACCTTTCCCAGACAGGGCACCCGTCTTCCCTGACCGCATGATGAGAGAACCCCAGCTGCCCACAGCCGAGATCTCACTCTGGACCGTGGTGGCCGCCATTCAGGCTGTGGAGAGGAAGGTGGATGCCCAGGCAAGCCAGCTGCTAAATCTGGAGGGGCGGACGGGGACCACGGAGAAGAAGCTGGCCGACTGCGAGAAGTCAGCCGTGGAGTTCGGGAATCACATGGAGAGCAAGTGGGCCGTGCTGGGGACCCTGCTGCAGGAGTACGGGCTGCTGCAGAGGCGGCTGGAGAACATGGAGAACCTGCTGAGGAACAGGAACTTCTGGGTCCTGCGGCTGCCCCCGGGCAGCAAGGGGGAGGTCCCCAAGGTACGTGGTGGTCCCAGGGGCAGGGATGGCGGTGAGGACCAGCACCATGAAGAAAACTCATGGCTGCCAATCTCTCTCACAAACTTCCCTGGCTCCCTGTTGTCTCCTGTAGTGTTGTCTTGAAGCCTGTCTCCATTTAAATAACCTGGTTCCTATGTTCTACCCCAGTGAGGCTGGCCTCCACCCCTTCCCCACAGAGTGTGCGTGTTTCTGTCTTTACTCTCACTGTACCCAGCTTGCAGGGTGTCTGCAAATTCCTGCAACTCTTCAGGCTTGGGTTTTTCCCTTGGCACCTGCATTTGTCATTGAATATCAGTGTACATGCTCGTCTGAGCTGGTGGGATACAGACCCCAAACCATGCAGACTGGATTCGCAGGACCTTGTGCGGTTTCCTCCTGTGCCTGCTCTCCCCGCGCTCCACAGTGTGCTCCCAGTTGGTGACCCTGCTTTCTAGTCCACTGAGAGATCGGAGTCAAAAGAGACTTCCACGGGCAGTTGGCACATTCGCCCACCGCCTGCCCCAGGCACTCTGCCTTCCTGTTGCTGTGGGCTCGCCGTCCTGCCTCGTCCCCTGCACCAGCATCCCAGTGGGCCTCCCCTTTCTCTGCTTTATCGTGGACCATCCCCACCAGCATGGAGACATCAGCTGTCTCTAACGCAACCCGGTGACACCGGGTATCTCCCTCCAGTTAGGCCTCGCTCCTCTTTAGAACAGAACCCCTTCAGTGAGTCATCTGTGTTTGCTGTCTCCAATTCTTTCTTCCCCTTTTTCCCTCCCTCCCTTTTTTAACCTCTTTATTATAGAAAATTCAGACACATAGCAAAAGAGGCAGAAGACTGTGATAAACCCTCACGAACCCATCCTCCGCCTTCAACAGTTATCAATTCTTGGCCAGTCTTGTTTCATATAAATCCCTACCCATGTCCCCCTTCCATTTTATTTTGAAGTGAATCTTAGCAGTCATTTTATTTGTATTTCAGCAAGTAGCTCGAAAAGGTAAGAGCTCTTTTTAGAAAATGATAATCTTGGTGTTATTACTATTACAACGAAAGCTTCAACCTACTCAATTATTTTATCAGTGTTCAGATGTCCAGTTCTTCCAAAGTGTTATCATTCTTTTTCTATCGGTTGGTTTGAATCTGAACTTAAATAAGATCTGTGTATTGTGATTGATGGGTCTTTTAAGCCTTGTTTTAATCTATAGGTTCCTCTTCCATCTCCTTCATTTTTTCTTGCAATTTTTCTGTGGAAGAAACAAGACCATCCATCCTGTTGAGTTTCTTGCCTTCTGGATTCTGCTGCTTCATCCTTCACGGTCTCACTTAACTTGTACCTCTAGTCTCAGTATTCCAGTAAGTTGATAATTGTATCATTCTCCCTGGCACCCATGCCAGTCAGGCTTTTGCCACCACCTGTCCATCCTGCTGGTCTTGCCAAAGGCCTAATGAAGCCAGTTGGGGGCAGGTGGTCGTGGTCTTCATCCTCTCTGCCCCGTCAGCAGCATTTCATGCAGGTCCCCGTCCCCTTGAAAGCCCTTTAGTGGCTTCCAGGGCAGCCCTCTAGCCTCTTCCTACCTCACTAGCTGCTCCTTCTCAGTCATCTCTGCTGGTTTCACCTCCTTTTCCCGACTTCATATCCAGAGTTTGGTGTATCCAGAGCTGGGTCTGTCCTCATGATCTCATCCAGTCTCTGAGTTTTAAATGCAGTCTGTGTGCTGTCAATTCCCAGAGGCAGCTCTTTACTCCCATGTCTCTGTGTACCTTGCCCTGACTTCTCAAATGCCAGATGCCCACTCCTAGCTGTTAATTCAGCATCTCCATCTGGATGTCAGTAAATACTTAAGAGTTAAGATGATCAAACTGAATTCCTGATTGTGCCCCTGAAATCTGTTCTACCCAAAGACATCCTTGTCTCTTTTGAAGATAACGCATCCTAGTTGCTCAAGCCAAAAGCCCTAGGGTCATACTAGCCTCCTCTCTTTCTCAACCCTCCTTCCAGTATATCAGCAAATACCTTTTGATTTTTTGTTCAAAATAATGCCCACAGTCTGACCACTGCTCTCCACTCCCATCGCCCCGCCACCATGCGGTAGGAGCCGCCGTCACCTCTCATCGTACTTGCTCTCCTTATCTCCATCCTCATCCTCCATCCCATACAGTCTGTTCTCAGCAGAGCAGCGGTCATCCTTTTATACCTGTGCTTAAAACCCCCACGTGGCTTCTTCTCTTTTTTAACACGAAAGCCCCCTTCTCCGGCTCCACCTTTCTGCCCCATCTCCCCTGTCCCTTGCTGTCCGCTCCTTTCCATCACACTACAGAGGCCCACTGCAGGCACTTTCCTGGCTGAGAAGCTCCTTTCCTGCGTACCTGCCTGGTCCCCCCAATGTCCAGTGGGGTCAGCATGGCCTGCCACAGTGACCCAGTACAAAAGAACCATGTCCCTCTGCCGCCAGCAGGCTCTTTGCCCTGTCCCCACTCCCCATTCCTCCAAAGCACCGTGGCATCAAACATCTTTAATATTTACTTCTCTTTTTGTCTTCCTGGTTGATTTTCCCTAACCAGGCTGTAATCTCTGCTTGGTTCACTGCTGTGTCTCTGTGCCTTTAACAGTGATTGGTTTATAGTTGGTGTGCAAAAAATACTGGCCAATTGACTCTCCAGCTGGAGAGCTCATGTGTCCACGTAAGGAACTGGTCCTATACATCATCCTATCTGCTGAGGCAGCCAACCCAGGGACTGCCTACTCGCCATTGGCCTGTTGAGGCCTCACAGAACCAAGTTGTCATAGAGGCTGTGGATGCCCCCCCAAAACCTTTCCTGCCGCCGTAGCCCACAGGCCTGTTCTCAGTACGGCTTGGCATATATTGTTGTTGGCAAAGTCAACATCTCTTGCCCTTTTCCCTTATCTGCGCTGCATATTTTCACTCCGTGCTGGTGCCTGTGTGGCACCGTTGTGTGTTCCACACACTGGATCAGGCATTTGGAGTCTTGAGTTGCAATGACGGGGTGGTTGTGGGATCTGGAGTCAGAGGACTAGGGTCTGAATCTTGCCTTTGCCACATACTAGTTCTACTGCTGATCAAGTATGTTCTTTCTCTGAGCCTCCTCAATTCCTCTTTCCAAAGACATAAAGTATAAATAAATAATTTAGTGAGTAAATTCCCAGCTGGTTGCACTGAGTTTATGTTCTCATCTGTAAAATGAGGATGATAATACACTTGCATTGTGGAGTGATGAGGATTAATGGATTTCATCAATGGGACAGCACTATATAGCTCAGCATATTAGCTATCCCTTGCTGTGTAACAAATTACCCCAAAACTTACCAGCCTAAAAAAATAATGTGTGTTAAATGACATACAAACCTTCATCGTGTGGACCTTCCTGCAGGACCACTCGAATGTCCTGATGACACGGCAGCTGGCCTTCCCCCAGAATGAGTCCAGGATGGAAGCTGCAATGTCTTTTGTGACCTAGTTTCAGAAGTTGTACAGCATCACTTCTTTATTTACTTGTTAGAAGAAAATCACTAAATCTAGCCCAAACTCAAAGGGAGGAGAATTAGGCTTTACTTTTTGAAGGGACTACAAAAGAATTTAGAGATTTATTTCAAGCAAGCGCCCCCAGCCATACAGTGCCATGAGAATTAGCTGATGCTGCCTGCATTAGCGACAGCTCACTGTGTACGCTTGGCCACGCTAGCACGCTCTGTGTGCTCTGTGCAGACCCAAGGAAGGTGTTGTCTCTCAGATCCTTTGTGTCTCTTGGATCCCCCTGTGTCTGTTAATTGGTTCGTGGGTAGTCTTTTCCATCCAGCTAGACTGTAGACTCCCTGCTGTCTAGACCACGGCTCAGACTTCTGCAGTATCCTGGCCCAGGGAAGTTTTTACCAAGTGATGTCTGTTTCCACCTCTGAGAATGTGACCCCAGACTTTTGCCCTTCCACGGATCGTGGAAGTGAAGTGAGGCAGGGGAATCGGTCTGTTGGAGAAGATGATGAACTCAGTTTTGGATACATTTAGTTTGAGGTTCGTGAAGTATGATTAAGAGTTGCCACTCAGAAGGCTGTTAAAATGTGAACTTCTGAGGGAGCAAGGGGAGCTGACAAGTGTCCTCTGCAAAGAGGTAACCATCGAGGCTGTGAACAGGGCGGCATTGCTGAGGGAGACGTGAAGAGAGGCAGGGCAGAGCCCTGGGGCCTGGGGAGCAGGAGGAAGCAGGAAGGACAATGTGGGCTGGGTGGGCAAGAAGCAGCAGAGTCATGGAAACCGAGCAGGAGAAGATTCCAGAAAGGTGGTTGGAAAGGCTGGGAGTTAACAAGAAGCCACAGGTGACTTTCCAGCACGTGGCACCTTCATAGACAGAGTCTTAGGGGCTAAAGGATGTGTACATGGTGAGAAAGGAAGCACAGAGTGTGTCTCAGGGTGTTCCCAGTGAAGATGGAGAGAAGAGTTGCTTGAGGTGGCAGAGTTGAGTGGGGGTGTATCTCGGGCTGGGTGACCCCAAAGGGAAAGCCAACAAGGAGGAGAGACTGGAGATGCCAAAGAGGGAAGAGTTTGGCTTGCGTTCCACCGGCAGGAGGTGGAGAGAAATAAAGGGCACGTAGTGGGGCGTTTGGCTTGGCGGGCAGGAGCTGGGCCAAGGCTAGATGGGAGCAAAGGGGAAGGGCCAGTGAGGGTGGGACAGGGAAGAGTTTGCCACCCAGGGAACGGGGAAGGAGGTGTCAACAAGATCAGCAGGAGGCTCCCACAGCAGCCTTGGGCCCAGTGGTATGAACTGACACTGGATTCACCAGCAGAATTTTGTGGCTTGTGTCTATCAGCAGGGAATTAAAATGAAGAAAGTGGTCTGTATCGGTTTTCCCAGGTTGGGGATTTGCCCAAGTCTGGTGGAAGGTCCAGGGAATTGGAGGTTCTATTGTTTCTAAAGATGGGAGGTGGCATATGGGTGTGCATGTTGCATCTGTGCAGGCCGCCCTTGGGGTTCGGATCCCTGACATGAGGGCTGATATTTCTAGTTTATGTAAAGGTGCTGGCACTCAGCTGTGCACGGTGGCCCGACACCCAGAGAGCTGTCTTTCTAATGCACAGGTGCTACATAGGCTAGCTTTGGCCTGTAGGTACAGGCATGAAGGCTGATGGATGGGGACTGAGGCCTGGTGGGCACTGGGGGTTGGATTTCAGAGTGAGAGTGAAAGGCAACCAGTGGATGTGACAGTAGTAGGAGGTACGGCTGTGTGGTCAGAAAGGGAAGTTCAGTTAATAAAGTCATTTTGAACAGTTCCTTCCAAGGTGAGGCCATCCTGGTGAGTGACTGTAATGAGTATAGACAAACTGAAATAACAGCTTTATCCTGCAGACTAGACCACCTTGGACAACAAGTGGCCAATGTCGGGCGATGGATGACAGCCGGCAGAGGAATGTCCTAGTCTTGGCACCACTATTAGTCACATTCCACAAGATCTATTGACTCCAAGCTGTGTGCTTCTAGATGTAGCAGTGAACTAAACACATCAAAATCTGGGCGCTTTGACACATGTGGCTTTAGATTTTACATGTTTAGTGACAAACCTGTAACCGTGTATCTAGAGGTGACTTGACCAGAAATACAGGTTCTGTGACAGGGCTTCGCTGCCCTCGGCTCCCTGATGCCCACTCTGAGAACTCACCCTGAGCGCCAAAAGCAGTACCTGAAATGGGAAATGACAGAGGCTGTGGTTAATGCTTAAAAAGTGGGGGGCAGTGTCAGCCAGCCCTGTTGTAGAAGCACAACAAGATCAGGAATAGAGTGGGTGGAAGCCGTTGAAATGGGCTGGGCTGGGTTTGGAGGCCGAGTCGCTGAGCGGAGCAAAGGCCAGGCCACGGGCGGAAGGGGAGGTGGGGGAAGAGCAGCAGGAGGTGCCAGGCTGACACTCTCGTTGGCCCAGGTCCCCGTGACGTTTGTTGACATTGCCGTTTACTTCTCGGAGGACGAGTGGAAGAACTTGGACGAGTGGCAGAAGGAGCTTTACAACAACCTCGTGAAGGAGAACTACAAAACCCTGATGTCCCTGGGTGAGGACCTGCCCTCCTCCACGGGCCGTCTCCGGAGAGGGGAGCAAAGTGCTCATCAGCCCGCGTCCCCACTCGCGGGGCGAGGCAGTTCATGTTACCTAACGGAAACTCCAGAAACCGTTTGCTTGTAATGCTAGGAAGGTAGGATGATTTATAACAGGGTGCAAATGAAAAGCCCAGGAACAGGCCTGTCACTGTAGAATTGACGGCTTCATCACTTCTGCGTCTGGAATGCAGTCACACGGCATCACTGCACCTCTCTGCACACTGCACCCCGACAGCCGTGCAGGCGCTGCGGTTGCGCACCTCGCGGCTTTCAGAGACCAGCTTTTTCTCCACCAGGACTTGGGGAACCTATTGGCTTGTGTTCAAGGTCCCTCATCCGAGATTACCTGACATATATAACATACACCACCTAGGGGGCCCTCAGGTGGGGAGGGGAGCCAGGATGGGGAGAGCTCTGCCATTGTCCTTGATGGGGACCCACCGGTCAACTTCACCCAGTCCTTCCTTCCCTTCCAACTCATTCCAGACACGGAGGGTCCAGTGCCCAAGCCAGATGCTCCCGCTCAGGTCGAGCCCAGGGAAGAGCCTTGCGTGTGGGAGCAGCGTGACGCGGAAGAGAGAGAAATCCTAATGGATCCTGACACAGGTGATGGCAGCTGAAGGGCCCCAGGTCCAGGGCAGGGCAGGGGTGCAGTCCCACTATTCCTGCATGAATTTGGGAGAGGCTTCCCTTGAGTTGCTCTGGGGACCTGTTCTGCCACTGCTGAGATTGGGCGGTTATTACAGGAAGGGGCTCCGGGCCTGAAAGCATGGCGTGGGTGTTTGTTGGGTCAGAGACGTGCAGCCCTGGGTAGCCAGGTAAGCTGGGCAGACAGGAGAGGAGGGCAGCTTCCCAGGCTACGGTGCCCACAGGGAGAGACCCAGGGGTGGCCGCAGCCCGGGCCCAGGCCACCGGACGAGGGTGGAGGGTCTGCATGGAGCGGTTTTGCTGTGGCCCGTTGCGTCTTACTTGGCTGTGTGTCAGCGTCCTCGCTGGTTCTCACACTGACCCCAGCATCACAGCAGGCCCACCCTTAACGCTTTCTCCTCACTCAAGGAGGAGCCTCAGTCCTGAGGAAGTCCAGGCCTTAGAGCATTGCACCTCTCAGCTTTCCTGGAGATGGGAGGCGCTGGGCTCTGCCTTGGTCTGTCCCTGGTGCCCCAGCGCTCGGGTGAGATCGGAGCCGGCACTGTGTGCTCTGTCCCACCACATAGACTTTCACATCTGTGCCTCTGTCCTTCCTTCCTTTTAAGCGGGGAGCATGGTCACTGACACTTGCCATAGAAGGTAGCTCCAGGCAGCTGCCTCCTTCTAGCCTCTTCTCTTTATTGAGATATAATTCATGTACCATAAATTCACTATTTGTAAGTGTGTAATCATTCAGTGGTCACAAAGCTGTGCAACCATCACCACCACCTTATTCCAGAACATTTCCATCAGAGGAAACCCTGGGCCTGTTAGAAGTCCCTCCCGTTTCCCCCGTCCCCACAGCCCCTGGCCACCGCGGGCTGGCCCTCTCTGCCTCTGGGTTTGTCCTGGGCCACTCATCTGTGGCTCCTGCCCTGTCCTCAAGCACATGCAGGTGTCTGAGGTCAGCAGCTGTCACAGCTCTTCATGTTTAAGGGACTGTCACCTCACCAGGTGCCCTGAGTCACCACCCATCACTGTGAGATAGACCAGGGACCACTGTGCTCATTTTAGGGGTGGACCGTGCAGACAGAGGTCAGACAGCTCACCCACAGGGTGGGGACAGAATTGAAACCAG